TTGCGGTGGCCAGCCGATGTACAAGTCAGTGCTTTTATCCTCCCAGACGAGTCTGGTACCAATTCACCGACCCCGGAGGGATGGAAGGCTTGGTTGGCTTAGGCGGGCATCGATCCGGCATTCGAACCCCTGACCGTGCGTGTGATATAGTGGGCCACTTGCCACTACACCACCTCCGCCCATCAAGTAGATATATAAACAAATAAAGAAACAATGGAATTGGTTATAATGATTAGCTGGCACAAAGAGGAGGCATAGACCTCCAAGAGTGCACAACTGGTGAGGAGGTGGTACCTTTTGCCGTTGCACCGGAACCGATTAAATTTAGTGCAAAGATCTCAGTGAAGGGCACGGAAGTAGGAAGCCAAACAAGAGCGAACACACATACACAAACGATGAAAGAATAGTCATGAGAAGCAGAGCACATAGCAACTGGGCCGATTCCGAGGGGGAAAAACTGAGTGCAGCGCTCACCATTCATTGCAAGCTCTGAAGAGGAAAATCTGGACGGACTTTCAAAATAACAGGCACAGACAGAATCAATAATCAGACGAGACGGAACCACAGCTTGCCATAAAAAGTGAACAGAACTGACAGCTTGCAGACTCTCACACGTTCCTTTGAATTACGCCGCGCACATCGATTCCCGCTTGTAAGATTTGAAATTGATTGGATGGGCATGTCACCCAGGCCACAAATATATCGTGAAAACTTGATAATGGGGTTAACGTTCTAAGTTCACTTAACTGGTACCGTACTTACTTAGCCAACTTGGCAGCGATTCGAGATTTTAGAGGTGCCCCACTTAAGGATTCTCCCGTCAACTCCTCCCCAGCGCTCCCACAGTGTCACCTTGATAGCATTCAGGGAAGGCGTAACAAGTATATGTAAAATAAACAAATAAACACGAGTTCAACAAAGGTATAAACAGTAGTAAACACAAATAGCGCACCATATTGTGAAAGAAAATAAAAATCCTGGTCGAAATCTCAGTGAAAAGAAAAGCTCTGACTAGGGAAAGTCGGTTTGAGGTGACAAAATCGATAATCGATTGAGGGACTGTAAAGACCCTTTTTGGACGAGGTTCTCCCGAAAATTTGTAATGACGGAATTCAGCAGGCGAAAGATGATGAGCAACAGTTCCACTAAGTTCTTATCGTGGGATCGTGAGGATCTGCGATGAACTGGTTGAAAACTATTTCCATGTTTTTCTAGAACTTCCAAAAACCTGAAAAAAAGCCCTATTTTTATTGAAGGAAAGGGACGAATACTCACAGGAAGCATAGACCGGACATATAGAACCAACTGGGACATTTTTGAATACGTTCAAGGTTTTTTTTTTGCTCACGTTACGATCATTTCCATAAAAAAACAGTTAATGGGTCGTAAAGGTAGGTACACGATTAGCGACACGCTCATGAAAGTGCGACGACATAAAGACGCCCTTAGCACGAGGCGCCGATTAATTATCGGGTTCTTTCAGTACAACTTGCACATTGAACTACCATAGACCATGTATGGCTGAGCTTTTCATGGCATATCCACCACCTAGAGTGGACTTGCTCTGAAAGATAAGTCCTATCATTGGTCACCTCATCTCAACTCCCATAGGGCCAGAGCTTGTCAAAAAGGACTTAGAATGTGAATTGAAAGGCATAGATATTGAAATTGAAAAACTATGATAAGCAAGATAAAGGATAAAGGAGAGTCTTTGGCACTCACTGATCCCAAGGACGTATGCGCCCTGCATTTGACTCCCGTTCGGAATCATAGTGGCGTTTCGAATGCGTATGTGGCCATGTGGCCCACGCAATAACTTGTAGCGGTCAACTAATGTACAGTCGGTGCTTCTATCCTCTATGATGAGACAGATACCAAGGGACCGATCCAGGAGAGATTGATCGCTTGGTTGGCCTAGGCGAATGTCGAGGGACTCGAAGTTGCATAGGGTATTTGGCACTACACCACATCTAACCCTAGTAGGAAATATGCGGTAGAAAAAACTGTGGCTCAGAAAAATCTATGTTGCATTGAAGCGGAGAGCAATTGCAGCAACCCGATTAGTCCATGGAATGATTTCAAGAAGAAGGGGAAAGGTCTTTTTCAGAGAGTGTCACAGTCACCAGTCACTCGAGACTCGCCTCGGGTAGGGAATCTTGATGAGCTCAGATTTTGGAGGTGCGTTGCATGAGATTCTCTTCACGTCATCCTTTTTTGACCTCTCTAGCTCATATAAAAAGGGCTATGGGCACCAGATGTCCGCTAAATAAAAAAGTCATATATGCCAGATGCTCTTCCAAGCGCAAATTGAAGGTACATGTATTGTAGGTAACGGTCGTGGTATAGTCGCTCTCAGGATCAGAAAGAGTAAGTATCTAGTCAAAGCAGGAGCGTTTTCGCTAATTCTTTCATTGTTTTCACAGAGATCCAGCTTTCTCTGCTCGCCAGCTTTCATATTTGCTGCAACAACTGTTAAACTGGGCTAAAAGTACTCTGAGATTACAGGAAGAAAGGAGTAATGTGGTCGATATTGCCCTGTGGAATTCCTTTGGAATCCCACTCGACTTGCATCTTTTACAACCGTCTCAGCATTCGAATCCTGCTAGGTAGGTCTAACGATATGGGCTATATATAATTGTAGGGACTAACCGGAACTAAAGTCCGGATCCGAAATCCCTAATGATACCCATATCAGAAGAATGAAAGTCAGGATGGCGTTTGTGGGTGGGGTCTAGAACTCTAGGGGATCGCCTTTTGGATAGACCAGTACCTGCAGAGTTATCCCATGGGAAAGATAGGAAATGGCGTGGGAGGGTCAGGGAAAAGAGATATGGCACTATTACTTTTCCTCTTTGTGCTGTTTCAAATTGTTGAACACTTCTTCCTCTCCATCCCTACCCCCTCATCTTTCTGCTGCCAGTGTTGAGTACTGTTGGTCTCTTGAAATAACCAAGAATCCCTAATACTATTGAGAATAGCTGTAACGGCATATGAAAAAAGTCATGCCTGAAACAACGGAGGTCCGAAGTGCAAAGATAAGACCAGCAAGCGACCATCCTAGAAAATCCATCATCAAACTTGGCAAGGCTCTTATGATTTCAGGGCCATAAGTGACAACTAGGTAGTATAAACAGTATAAACTCAAAGTAAGGCTTGTCCAATGAACGAACCTCGTCAATAGCAAAGAAAGAAGACGGTAACATGGCGAATCCCAAACAGTGTACGCATGTCAATCAATTGATATTCTCGGAGCATAAGGAAAAAGTTGAAAGGCAGGGAGATCATGATGGAATGACGAGGTATGGGTAAAGAGCCTGAAGTGAGCGAAGCTCAACATGCTACGTTATGCAAGAAGCTAAATGAATTTATTCGACGGACGGCTAGCTGCTATCCTGCTACTTTCTAGCACCTCATTTATTTCCTTTCCTATCCATTCTACAGCATGTCCCCACCCGCAATTACATGACCATGTCTAATTCCCTTAGCACACACACAGTGGTTATAGATTGGCCAAGGGGAAATTAGCGTTCTGGCGCCTAGATGGGAGCGATGAGAAATCATTTGTCATTATGCCACCAACATTACTCAATGCTGTCAAGCAAAGCATTTCATGGAAAAAAGGGTGACGAGAACCTATGTTTAAAGTATTGATTCAAGTAACTCATGGATGTGGTAGATGTGGTTCCCGAGCCAGCGCCCCAGTTCCTTTACTCATTTCTGGGAGAGTTCATGTGTGACGACCTGCAAAATTGGCTCACCGGGACGATCCCAGAGCAAAGTTATTGGGAGAATAAAAGAAGACCTAACCTGTTCGACTCACAAAAAAGGGACCACTTAAAGACTGAATGCATCGGGTAGGGTGGTGGGAGGGGTGGAGGGGTAGAGGGGTAGAGGAGGAGGAAACAAAAACATATTCAAGCAGCTGATAAGCAAAACAGCTCGAGAATTATTAAACTAATTCATCATAACAACAACTTCTACCCTCCCCCAAAGTTTCAGGGATGAGCTTGAGAGGGAACGCTTGAGAGGGAAAGGAGGAAATATGATGAAAACAAAAGAAAATAAAGGAAAAAAAAGTATATTGGAAGATGGTTTGGGTCGTTTTTTGTTCAAAAAACTTCAAAGGAATTTAAAGAGGATGAAAGAGTTAAAGGGAGATAAACAACAACTCGCCTCCAGCCCCAGAGGGTTTCTCTAAAGTCGATCAAAATTGAATCAACAATCATTAACCGATTGTTGTTGAAGGGGGGATGGTCGCCGTCGTGCAGTTGTCGGGACCACTGGAGTAAATCCCTTGAATGGGAAAGCCGGAAGTCGAATCGAATCAATCGTAATTATAATAGATGAATGGACAGAGCTCAAGCATCATTACGGCGAAGGCGACGAAGGCAGAGGTGGGCGAGGCGTGATGAGTGAGTGCGTCCCCATCCATGCCTTTCTTGGCCAGACAGCCGTCAGCTATGGCTCGTTCACCAGGCCATTCCATCCCATCTTGAAACTCGCCCTTTGACGCCTATTTCACCTTGGGAGGCCGCCTAGAGATGGCAGGCAATTTTAAGGTCATTCAGTGCATGGGACTAGGTAAGATGGTTTCACTCGGTTAAGTGGAAAATTCCCGAATGGGTAAACATTTTAATGGGAAAAGAATGGGTTCAAATGATAAGATAGATTTTCAGTGGGGAGAGTAAAAACTTCAGATGTGGGAGAGTTGTTTTTTGTGTTCAAGAGGTTGGACGACTGCAATATGCAGGGGGATGAGTGAAGTTCCGCACCGCATAAATGGATTACCGAAAATGGCCTGTGGCGATGTAACCAATCAATAGCTCGAGTCGAGAGAGCAACACGAGTAGTCCTAGGATGTGTAAACAGTAGAAAATCCAATAGAAGCATGGATTCGAGCCAAACCAGATGGGAAGAGCTGGGAGGAAAAGAATGAGAAGTGCTGACATTGGGTAAGGAGCAAAGGAACGGGGCGGACAGCAGTAGGGGGACGACGGCAGCAGCAGCCCCCAGCAACTTCCGTCGTTAAAAGGTTCGCGCTGTTGCGAGGGCCAGCAGACCGAGCAGCATGATTACACACACATGCTCATGCAGCCCTTCAACACCACCAGCAAATTAAAAACAACAGCCAGTAACCTCAAAACTTGACTGACGGAAGGGCGGGGCAACCGTGGTGCACTTGCAGTGAAAACAGCCTCCTGCCAGGAGCTTTGACGGATCGCATAAACAAACGTGGCGTGGTGTGAACAACAACGTTGCTTTGGCTGACACACGGTGAGGTGAGCTTGAGACTCGCCTCCCACATGGGTGCAAAGAGGGTGCAGAAATGACTCGACCGGGGCGACTAGACTAGTAGTATACCCGTAATAGCCCCCCGCGACACCTAACTTCAAGAGGATAGCGAGGTAGACGAGAGATAGGGCAGTGAGGAGAACGGCGATCAGCTGGTGTGACTAAAAACAGCCTTCCCATAATAATGACGAGCGTCGGCGTTTATGTGTAGTTGCTGGAAAAAGCTTTGCCGGCCGACGACGACGGCTTCTCCGCCTCCTCCCTCGCTCCTCGTCTAGCCTGCCTGAGAGCTGCTCCAGCTCGGATCTCAGCAAACATACATACTATCATCCACTTGAATTCTCAAGATTTTGCAAAGGAACGTATGTTTGCTGCTGTGGCGACGGAGCATTTGCATAGGAATTCCGCAAAAAAAGTGGGATCTATGCCAGGACTTTAGCACTTTAAGGACAGCGTCTGTCCCATCTCCCATTCCATAAAGAATTGATGAATTCTAAAACACAAACTCAGTTTAAATTTAGCCGAGCCAATTCAGTGGGAAGAGCTCACTCGGCGGGAAAAATATGGGAAAATGGACGTATGGCTTGGCTAATAAGGCGTTTGATCAAATGGGAGCACCTACGAGCGCTGGGAAATCCTTCGAATCCAAGTTGATTCTATTTGAAGCTTGGCATTTCCCCTCTCCAAAACAGCCTTCACTTAATCGGCGGACAACCAATACTTAAAAAGACCTCCCAGATGACTTGAATTCTCACAGTCAATTTAGGCCCTTTGAGGCCCTACAAAGACGGAAACCATTTCGATTTTTCACGAAAGCCAAGGGGGGCCTTCGAAATCTCCTTAATGTGGTTATTCGAAAGTGATTTATGATCATTTCAGCATTTTAGGTCGTTGGCGAGTCGCCAAGGAATTACCGAATCGATGCGAATCTCCACTACACTGTAGGGAAAGGGCACGCCTTTGTGAAAAAAAANAAAAAAAAGTCAGTCTCCGCCCAAAAAAGTACAACTACGCTGCTGTGGAACGGAGTAAAGTATTGAGGACGGAAATCGCGTTTAGAAGTAATCTCCGATAGGACAGGGTATTCCAATAAGTAAGCCGAGGGAGACTATTGAAAGGTTATGTGGGTGATGGCATTAGAGAAGGGACAGCCACACCCCCGTGCAAAGCCGTAGATGCCTTAGCATAGACAAAACTGCGATTCCAGTGAAAGTAAGGGCCATTTGCACTGGATACATTGCTCTTTGATACCGTTTTCATTTATTTTTCGTTATCTCTCAGTGGTCCCTATAGAGAAGATCTTTTGAACGAACGAGATTCAAACGATATAAGCAATTTTTGTAATTTTTATGATCCCTAAGTATCCTCTATTCGCCACAAGATCCTCATTAAAATTATTTCCTTTTCGAAATTTTCATTTTGGATATTTTCCCCTCAAAATTCTCAATTTGGAGAAAACGAGTGAATCAATTCTTCAATTGACTTTTTTGTGCTCACCCCTCCCCCTACCCTCTCTCCCTTTCCCCTAAGTGAGCCTCATTGTCCTTGAATTGGAGCTTGTTACGAAAAAAAAGAGAACAAGTAAAAAACGGCTAGTTGCTCGGGAGCAGCAACTCCCTCTATCCAACCCCCGTGAGAACTGATGAATGCTCCGTCGCAGAAAGCTCAATTTATCATTCTGGGGTGCCCTCAAAGCCTATGGTCAATTATTGTTTTATGAGCATCATAGTAGAGTAATTGATGAGAAAGTAATTAACGTAGTAGGGAAAGATGAATAATTAGGACGGAACAATGGTCTAGTCATAGTGAGAGCCATGCAGAATCAATCATCAATTTGCATTCTGGGAGTTTCAGAGTTTCAAACTATTTATTTATCTGTTTTTATTTACCGACCCACTGACTTATTCGTTTGCTTGATCATTCAGTTAGCTATTTATTTGTTTGTTTACCTATGAAAGTTTTAAAAAAAGCTTATGAGAATTGAGAAAGAATTCTGAAGTACTGGTGCCTTCGTATCTAATACAAGTCATTAGCTCACACTGTCCTTAGGGTTTAGTCTAGAAAATAATCCCGAATCCAGATCCGGTATCCCCCCAGACCAGCCGAGCGTTTCTCCCCATGGAAAAGGCTAAATGCCACCAGACACGCCTGAAAAGATAGAAGATAGACTTGTACATCGGCTGGCCACCGCAATCTTTTGCATAGGCCACCGTCCTTTCCATCCCAACTGACAACGCCACCGCGATTCTGGATGCAAGTCGAATGCGTGGCACGTCTCGAAAAAAGGAATCGATTTGAGCCAAAGACTTTATCTTTAATCCTTCATTTATTGGTCTAAAAGGGATTAAGAGACTGCGTCGCATGGAGGTATCCATTGGCTAGTCAATTTTACTGCGGTAATTAATCTTTCTGGAAATTTTCAGGCCTCGAAAGAAATGGGTGGTACTACCGGAGCTGCAGTGACAACCTGAGCCAGGCTGACTAGCAGAAGTGAAGCTTTTTGTTGGGCGATTTCGGACGATTTTCTTCATTCCCGGATAAATTACATAGCAACAAGGGCAACGAGGGAGATGATTTCACCTTAGCACGAAAGCCTGCAAAATGGCCAGGTCTCCAGATTTGTTGTAAAAGCCGGTGTTGCACCAGAAATGCGGGAGTACTTTGCTAACATTGGTTCATCATGAATAATGTCGTGTTGTAGTGGACAGACGAAAGAAACCGCCTACAGCTGACGCTGCTCAGCTTTTCACCAAGGTGGAGGAAGATTAATTATAGAGGTCAGATCTCCCGACAATGAACAAGACAGATAAACCAACGAATCCTACTCAGACTCCACCTGTCTGCTCTTGAGATCTGGCGTAGAATCGAAGTGTTTTCATGGAGAGGCCTTGAAACCCTAAAACTTAGCTAGCGACTTCTACTAGTAACTATACATACATATAAATAGGTAGCCATTGAATAGGAAGGCTGAAAAGCATTGAAGCAAGAAAAAAAGCTTCTTTTAAAGAAATCTATGCCTCAGAGCATTCTATTTATTCCCCTGAAACTGAAATGGATGAAGTAACAGAACAAGGATAGCAAATAAATCCTTCCAGCATTGAACAATCCCCTTTTAGGATGCTCCCCGCATTCTGCTTCCATTCAAATTCCTAGCCGTGGTTGAGTGCGTAGGTGACCCTGACAATGGCTTGCGGTGGCTAGCCAATGCACAAATCAGTGCTTTTACCGTCTCATACGAGTACACTAGCAATCAGTGATGGAAGGCTTGACTGAGATAAGCGGATATCGATAGGAGAACTCGACCCTCTTACCATGCTTCTGATAGCTCCTAGTTGTGCATCAATTGCCAAAACACACCCTCCGCCAACTTTCGTGACTTTTTTTTCGTTTCTACGTAACTTTTTCGTATAAATCCTTTGAAATATCAATCACTCTCTTTGATTTGAGCTGATAAGCGAAGCCCACAGAGTTTCCTGAATTCGATTTGTTTCAACGCAGAGAATTCAAACCAGAGGTTTGCCTGACCCCTTCTCTTCTGACTAGTCCTCATTCGTTAAGTGGTCAGAGTTTTTACCTAGTTGAACAATGGCTGTATAATGAAGACGGGTTTTCCTTAAAAGAAATAAGGCGTCCAGAAAAGGATACAGTGCATAGAAAAAACATAAATTCTACGTTTCCAACGCGTTGTAGCCCAGTAGTTGAGAAGTAAATATATACAGAAATCGGAAGTCGGAGAGTGAAAAGGAAAAGTCTCAAGACAACTGGTCAAGCCTTACGTCACAGGATGTTTAGAATGTTGAGGAACTTCACTGCAAAGAAAGAGACGATGGCATGAGGAATAAAGAGATTCATTGTGCACTGCCTGCCCCTTCCCAATCTCTAATAGACATGTCATCACATAGGCTCGCTTGTCCATTTCAAGGGTTTTGTAAATTCTGATAGAAATGGATGCATGGCGCACTCCAACAATAATCTGATGACTATTCGCCCCTTCATGTTTCAAAAAAAAGCAAAAAATTGAAAAAAATTGGCAATAAGTAGTTCAGACTTTGAAACAGCGAGTAATAGGTCAGGGTGGCGTTAAAAGAAATGCAGCTGCCGAAAAATAGGACACATCAGAGACAAATGATTTACTCCTGCTGTGAAATGCGAAAGCGACCTGTTTTACGACCGCCAACGATGGTGGCGGCTCGTGTTTGAGGTGTGACGAAGGGTGGATGGCGACGATAGTGGCTGAGTGCTGCCGGCAGTGGTCATCAATTCTGACTCAAAACCTCATACAGAGACATATGCGGTCGCTAGACCTAAGCGATGAGTGCAGAAAAGAGTAGAGATTGAGCAGAGGAGGGCATCCGACAGCGGAAGCTTCATAAATCAACGATCGACAACGAAAGGATTCGAAGAATGTCTGCTGCTTTCAAGTGCATACGCATACACGAAGTAGCCATGGCCTCGACGACGACGGCACTA